GAAGCCTGGAATAACTGTCTGGTGCCAAGGCCGCAGATCCTGGGGCCATAGAGCGAGCTATCTATTTTCACGTAAAATATGTGGCACCAAGGTACTAGAAGCTGGCACCTAGGCGACAGTTCATATCATGGTCATTTGCTCCATTTGACCCTATTTTGCTCCATTTTCGCTTCATTTTTTTCCAAAAATACATCTCTTGTACCTGAAATTAAAGACATGCAAAATATCTTCCAGTATAGTGCAATATCATTAAAAATGAGCATAAAATGTATAAAAAGTAACACATTTTTAGGCATGTCAGCTACTAGTCTGTTCTCAACAGTGAAGGGTCTACTTATGACTAATCATCGAAATGTGAAAGACTTTTCCATGAGGCCTTGGTTTCACCAAGTGAAAGCTCCTCTCATAGACATAGCTTTCATAATTTAGCCTTAACCCATTCTTCAATAGGCTGTCAAATATTCGAGGGATTATTCGTACCTCAGACAATAGGTTTTTGTTATTAAGGGTTTACAAGGGGAAAACACTCAAGATTCGTTAGGGATTTATCTATGAAAGCTTTCTATCCTGGAAGGCCTCCCTCTAGCACAAAATTCCTAAATCTTAAATCTCAAACTTCCAGCTTAGGAACTCTAGAAGAAGAGAAATGCAAGGGTTTGAAGAAATCTCACCACCGTGGAAGTTAATGTCGTGTTTCTCCTTGTAAGATAACACTCTCCTTCTTGTAGGAGATGTGACGAAGTGTTCCTTTCCACTTTATACAATGAAAGGATGATGCTCTCCTTATAAAAGGAGAAGGTGGAAACTTCTTCCTTTTCCCAAGAGTTGATGAAGTTCTCTTTATGAAAGAAGATGCTCTTCTTTGTGCTTCTCTAAATCAAGAGGAAGCTTTCCTCTTTAAATGTAGCTCTTAAGAAGCACACACACCCTCACTCTCTTAGACATTATATAGAGATTATGAGTTTGTGGAGGAAATGAAGTGGAAGAAGAAGAAGAGAAATAAGAAGATGTTAGCTTCCCTTTTGCTTCCTAGACGAGCCCTTCAGCTATAGCAATAAATCCTCTGAGCAAATGAGCTCTTCTATAGCTTATTTTCAGATTGGTATATTACCACTCCAAGTGACCAATGAAATTGGAGGGAAATTTTCCTCCAATGCTTAAAATATTATACCTCTTCCACATGGCACTCACCATAGGCTTCTTGGGAAGTGAATGCCACATGTTGCACTGTCATTTAACCACCTAAACTCATCATGGAGAATGGAGAAGCAAGCAAGAAAGAGGGAAGAAAAGGTTAACATTTTTGGTTGGGCAAGTTGTACAGTTAGTGTGACTATGCTCGAACTGGGCTTGGCCATGCCAGATCTAAGAGCTTAAAGCCTTCATTTTCTGAAGGCTGGCGTGAACATGCTGAAATTGACATGATCAGGCCGGTGTCTGGTGTGGCTACACCATATTAGTGGCATAATTATGCCATACTCTCTGACTTGAGCATGTTTTAGGGTCATTCTAGCGTGACCACGACAAAAATGGGCGTGGTCATGCAAGGTCAAAAATTAGGGTTAGGTATTTAAAGCATGGTAGAAGTTCTAGACAAGTTCCCTTGGCTCAAAAATGTCCTAAGAAGATGGGATATGATCTATAACGATCGAAGAATGCCCATGGATGCATTGTAACACCAGAATAGCCCTAAAAATAGTGGTCATCCCCAAGTGATGCAAAGTGGTCTGAATTCTCTCCCGGTTGTGCCTGTGGGCGAGTTTTATGACTCCAATTGGCCATAAAAGAGTCTGGATTGATGGGGGTAAGGTCTCTAATCATCGAATCTAGTGTTAAATATGTCATGATCCTAAGCCAACCCCATTCTGTGGTGAATTTACCCGAGTAGGGAAAAGTTAGTACCGATCCTAATTCCATGCCCATGACACGTACCAAGATGTCCAAATGAGTATCTTGAGCTTCAGGATGGTATGAATGAACACCAACTCATCTTGAGTTGTTCAAGTGGACACTCTCTACTTATGAAATCAAAAATTAATGTTAATAATCACAATAATCTGCATTCATAAAAAACTTTAAAAATTAAAAACCCTAAATCTAAAGCCACGATAAGAACATATTAAAGAAGAGAGAGAAGAACAAAACCTTGAATGAAGCAAGATAGAAGACACAAAGCCTACTAAGCCTTCGATCTCAACTTTAATTCTATAGATAAGACTTTGAAAGGGGTAACCTAGTAAACCCAAGAAACGATAGTAAGACTTTCACTCTTTTAAGATTTTGCCCATTGCGACACACACGACCCAACCACGCAATGAGATACAATCAGATGAGAGCTCATAGGAACTCATGATGGAAAGGAAATAAACAAGACAATGAGACGATGAGAGACGAGGCTCTCAGCTCTCCTAATGGAAAAAGGAGAGAAACAAACGAGGTGGTGGCCAAATGGTTAGGGAATAGGGACAAATGGTATTTTTAGGTTTATACACTTATTATTTCCCCAGCTATTTGAGAACAACGAGCTTCCATGACATCCCTATCACTCATACAATATATATTTTTTCATTTCTTATATGTTAGATGATGATAATTTCTTGCCCAACTTAATTTTATAACTTCTATCACTCATAAAATATATATTTTTTCATTTCTTATATATTGCATGACGTTGATTTCATGCCCAACTTATTATTTGGTTTTAGTTATTCTAGCTTCGCATCCAACGTTCATAATGGGCCTAATATCAAGAAGGCTAACATGGCCCAGGACGAGTTGGATTTTAATTCCTTTGCGTCAAGTCAAGGCAAGCATCGATAATTAATTAGACATATAACGCTACAGGCAAATAATTAAAGTTCTGGCAATAACTTATAAACCTAATAATTATGAATGTGAAATTATGCTCATCTCAACCATATTAGGGCTGTCAAAACGGCTCGTTGTTCGCGAAAGGCTCGTGTTCGGCTCGTTCGCTAAGTTAACGAGCCGAATACAAACAACATGAACAAATATTTGTTCGTTTGTGTTTAACTCGTTTTGAATCAATTAAATTGTTATAAAATTTTGATGGGTAGTTTTTTTTTTTTTTTTAATTTAATTGACTACAAGGCTACAAAGATTTATAATCAATTAAAAGTATTAATGAATAAAATATAATAAAAATTATTAAATTAGATTCAAATGATGTTTTAAATCATGCCCCAATCTTTAACATTTGATGGCTACATGATTAGAGTTTTCAAAATGACTCTTTGTTCGTAAACGGCTCATGTTCGGCTCGCTAAGCAAACGAGCCGAACACGAACACACTTTTTTAGCTCGAAATATTAACGAGCCGAACACGAGCTGAGCCTGGGCTCGCTCGTGTTCCGCTCGTTTACACCCCTAAACAATATATTAGTCCTAGCGCTCGCTCGTGTTCGGCTCGTTTACACCCCTAAACCATATATTAGTTCTAGGGTTATTAACATGCATACCGGCCAATCCCTATGTATTTTAAATATCTAACACAAAAATTTTAATTTTTACAATTACACCACCCAAGTCTTTCATATCACATAAATAGTATCACTATTTTAAATTTTAAAAAAATTAAAATAGACAGTTTCACGCAAAGGCAAGATGGCATGTCTATTAAAAATCGAAGTTTTGATGTTAGATATGTAAAAAGATAAGAACTGAGTGGTATGTATTTAAATAGTTCTAATATTATATTATGGGAATGCGTACATTTAATCAATGTCACTTTATCTTAAAAATGTGTGATTAAATCCTTTAAAGTGCTAAAATTCTGACCCAACATAAAGTCTATTATTTGAATATAAGAACTTCATGCCAACCTATGTGAAACTTATATTTAGAAATAAGATATCTTATGTATTTAATAAAATACAAAAATATACACTTTAATTTAGATTTCCACTTATAAACCCATAAGCAATATACTAGATTGACAAAAGTCCCAAATGAAAAAGATAGGAAAATGTTGCTGCAATCGATGAATTTCCACAACTATGAAATGATACTTATTTCACCAGTATGTCTCTCACCAAGCAGTTTAGCAGGATTCATCCAATGCTAATGAGAAAAATTTTGCTTAAAACACAAACTTTCTTACTGCTGCTAATCATTTGGATGTAGTTGATGACTCCCTAATTGTAGTGGAACTACCTATTGAGAGGGAAGGGGGTTCCCAAGTACTGGAGGAGTGTCAAGGTCAAGGTGTACAGCGTGCTGAATCTGCTCAACAAGTTACGGAGCAACCTACCTTGCAAGGTGACGATCTACTAATTGCTCAGCTGGGTCACACACTGAAAGAGGATTGACAAGTCCAAAAAGCTAAGAAAAAGAAAAAAAAAGGACAACTCATATATTCACATGATGACTACTTGATATTTTCGAGAGAAAGCTCCCTTGATAGTACCTTGATGGATCTCCTCCCTAGAACCAGGGTGAGGGGAAGAGGTAAAACCACCCACTATATTTGATGCTCACAAGCTATTTTGTGTTAGTTACATGCACACTCTCCGCTCGTTACAATTATCCCCCCATATTGCATCAACACATTTATTTCTCATTATTTTTTGGGATATACTTGTATTCCTTTGTTACCTTTTGTGTGTGTTGTATACCTTGTGAGTGGGTCCTTTCACCCACTTACTAAAACTTCTGTATCTTCCTTTCGTATTAATTAATTTGCCTTCGGGCCTTTTTTTAAAAATTTATATATATAGTTTCCCAAATGAAAAAAAACATATATATATATATATATATATATATATAGCTTCCCAAATGAAAAAAATCAATATAGGAAATTGATAAATTGCTACATTTCCATATAAAAAAGAACATAGATATAACTTATTTTAAAACAACAATACTTTTAACCAAGACAAATCCACAGCTTCATCTCACTTATAAAAGTAAATGAAAGAAAGAAAGAAAGAAAGATTTAAGTTTATTATATATAATATAATTTATTCTGAATTATATATCTCTTACACTTGGCAAATCTCATTGTCTTCCTTCGGCTCAGTCTTGCCCTCGTTAACAGTCTTCTCAGAAACAAGAGCCGATTCAGAAACCATCTCCTCATCTCCCAAACTATTAGAAACCTTCTTCGAGTCTTTGTAGATTATGTAAACTATAATTTGAGCCGCACCAAATGCGAATCCGACCACATTCGGGAGCTATTCAAGTCATATTTCAATCAAAGTTAGCATCTTTATAAAGTTATAATTCTAAAATATAAATTTTTATATTTATTTGAAAGTGTCACTGTCATAGTATAACATGTGCATGAAAAGATGCATTCAAGTGATATGGAAATTTAGGTGTGTGTTATGAAAATACGTAAGAACTTGTGGTATGTATGTAAATCATTCAAATTTATGACATGTTCTTCTTCTCAGCTTTTGGATTCATTTTAGATAGTCGAAATTGAATCGACGTTGATTTTTCATGCATGGATTTAATCTCAGCAGTCCAAAATTGATCAGATGGTTGAGATAAATATCAGCAACTTTGCAGCACATTCTGTATTTGTAGAGTATATATATATATATATATATATATATATATACTCTACAAATACAGAATGTGCTGCAATATATGAATTATTTAGTATTAGTGAATAGATTACTTACAGCAACATAAATGTCTTTGCTGAATAGTCCGTAGCATAACCACACAACAGCACTCAAGGTGAGGAAAAATGATAAGAAGAATGGCATGAACTCTACACTCTTTGTACGAACCACCAGCCTCTGTTCAAGCATTTTTATTAAACAAATATTAGAAAATAAATATATATATATATATATTAAACGAATATTAAAATAAGAATTTATCATATATATATATATATATATATATAAGGAAATCAATATTTGGCAGATGTCCAAATATTGATTTTATATGCGCTTTTTGGCCCCATGATGAGAGCCTCCCGCGTCATGATGGAATCGAACCCTTGACTGAGGGGACTTATAGTGACCCTAATAAGAGTTTCTTACGATGATGCTTAGAGGAGCCGCGAAGACGCTAATTGAGAAGCTCACACAGATCCAACCTAAAGTTCTGAGACGATCGGGGCCTTCGAAGAGGAGGAGAGTACAAAGAACAATGATAGAGAATAGCCCAACATTTAATAGCAAGATTAACTTGGCTGTGTCTATCTGCAGCATTTTATTTTCATGATTTTTCAAAATCATATATATATATATATATATATATACATACATTCTTTTGTACCAATACCAAAAATTGAAATATTTATGCATACCTTAGCTTTTTTTGGTGCATAAATAAGGAAGATGACAATATAAAAGGTCTCAATCAGACAACCAAATGCGTTAATTGAGACTAGAAGATATGTATTGGTCTTAATAAATGCATAATAGATCCAAAGCATAGAGCTGAATAATGCCACCACATATGGTACTGATTGAAAACCCTCTGTTGTTTTGTTTTTATGCACACGATAGAATGTTGGCCTGCAAATAAAATATAAATTTTGTTCCATTATTGGTATGTTGAAATAACCGGCCATTATCAAAGAATTATAGCCATGTTTAATGAAGCAATCTCTATTAATAATTAATGAAGCTGTCTTTGTTAACTATATAGTTTGGTGAAGAAAAAATATATTGTTAGGATATGTTGATTTATTTTGTATTAAGATTAAGCTATTTTAAGTGCATGTTTCCAAGAGATTATTTGATGAACATTTCTCCCATAATTTTATACAATTATGTTGAGTCTCATATGTATTTTCTTGTCATGTTCATACTTTTGAATGTTTAATAGTTTAATTATATTGAGGGATACTATGTAATGAAGAATTAACCACATGTGCAATAAAATTAATCATATCTTGGTATAAGGCATACATCATTTCATGAAAATTTTTGTTCTATGAAAATTGGTTCCAAAATATTCTCATAAGAGTGAGTTTGAGGGAGCCGTTCCAACACCGTAATTCGTGGCATTTGTTAAAACTGCATTTTGATTGATTTTTCAAAAAAAGTGGTGATTGCCAGAAAACTGTGGTCTTAATTTTTTTAAATAAAAAATATTGTGACAGTTATTGTAATTTTTTGATAAATAATTTTTTTTTGCAGTGATGTCACAACTGCTTCTTCAAACAACTGTAGCTTATCCAAAGAGACCCAACAAGTTTGAAAGGCTTAGATCAAACTTATTGAAAATATTTTGAGATGAACCTTATATGTTAGATTTTGATTGTATTGTTATGATCTATCTTAAAAAAAAATTCAATAAATTTGAGGTTGATTTTGGTTTTCATCCCAACTCAAATTAATATCTTTTTCTTTGAGAAAATAAATTTAATCATTGAAGGAAAAAAAATATATATATATATATATATAAAATTGTAGGAGATTGATGTGCTTCTTGTGATGTAAGAAAGCAATTTAAAAATGATGATAAAGTGAACAAAAGGAAGAGCTTTCTTACAGTGGAGAAAGAAACACCATGAATGATATGATATTTCCTGTAAAATAAATCAGTGGAGAAAAAAATAGTTAGCAATTGTTAATTATGAAAAGGAAACCCTTGTGAAGAAAGTAAAATCATATATATATATATATATATATATATATAAGTTTATTTATTATTAAATTAATCTATGTTAATATACAAGAAAATGAGAAAAAAGTAGACAATCCCAACAAAAATCAAAATTTTCTTAATGAATTGATGTGTCGCATGTGCCAATATATGAACTTACATGTTATTTTAGTTTTTTATGTTTTTCTTAGTAGAGTTTGATACGTACATAAGAAAAAATAGAGTGATAGACTGCTTCCATTATTATTTACTCATTTTAAGCATGATAAATTATATCAAAAGCTTGTTGAATAGAAATTTGTGGGGATTACCAGATACGTCAATGCAGCATAAATATCTTAAATAATAACTTAAATTCTAAGGAAATCATAATATTCTTCGTTCGTGTGTACGTGTAATATATATAAATATATATATATATATTTATAGCCCCCCGGTTGTGCCCTGCCGGTAGAGCAGCATTTGAAGGTTGTAAGTTCCCTTGGGTTACGGGTTCGAATCCTCCTCTGACAAATGTGCTAGTGGTGAAGGTGGTCCTCGATTTAAGCATACGAGGATGGCCGGGGGCTCCTATAATGGCCTCCACCTATTCTTTTTCTTTTTAATATATATATATATATAAGAAAATTACATACATAGAACTCAATTCTTATGGATTTACCTATCTCACGCGCAAATTTTTATTTTTACAAACATAGCACTTTATCTATGGATGAATAAATGAATTTTATTATTAAAAGTTGATAATGAGTACTACTTTCACATGATGTTTGTAATTAGTAAATTTTTGGGTGCTACATATGTAAAAGCCCCTATATGTATGTACGTATATATATTAATTAATTGTTACTTCCACAAAATGATGGTGAAATTTTTTTTAAAAAAAGTGTGTGTTGTCGAAACATTGTTTGTGGTAGGAACTGTGAAACTTTATGAAGTCACGACGACATGGAATTGAACGTCGGCCCATTCGAATTGGTGTTCGGACGTACAATTGCTGCACATAATAATTTCTCGAAAAATAGCCATAAGGCAGCTTTTTATATGCATGAAACAATAATATACATATATAGCATAATTATCATGCCATTTCTTCGAACAAAGAGGATATGCTAATGAAACAAACAAAGCGATGAAAGAATAGCCCTACCAAACGAAATAAAAATATATGAAGAAGATAAACAACAATCATTAACTAGCTAATAATAATGACTAAGAACCTAGTTTTTTGCAACAATTAAATTAGGCTATAGAATAAATATTGTAATAAAAATAATTATAATAGTAATAATCTAAAACCTCATTTGATTGCTTTTGAATATTATTAAAAAATATTTAAAAAAAAATAATGTTTGTAAACAAAATTCATTAAAATAGATGAGATATAAAGGAGGTGTATAGAGTTTAAAGCTACTATTAGCTCCCAACAACACCCAACATAATCAAATCTAACAAATATAAACATTTTAAAAGTGATTTTTTCTCCCTCTCAAATTTACGCAAAGAAATAGAGAAGAAATTTATATAAGAAGTAGAAGATAAAAACGTTGCAATATTAAACAATATTCAAACTCATTATGAATGCTAGCAAGTTTGATGTAATTAGTGAGGACTTTAAAAGTTATTGCCACGATTTTGTACAATATTTTAAGAAATTTTCTTACATTTTATGTATTTTATATTATAAACTTAAAAACAAAATTATTATTATTTTAAAAGAGCCATTTGATTAGTAGAAGCAAGAGAATGATGTTGTGTGTCATTTACTTAATATTGCCCATACCTAAGATGCCAAAGAATAATGACCAGGGATGGTCCAAAGACAAGCCACCGCTTGTCATCTCTTTCTCTAGCTCTTTGACTCGCTAAATTAATTGTGAGAAAGGTCAAAAAAGAAGGGAATCAATGAAATGCAAAAAAATTCCTTATAAGTCTTCCCTCTCATAGAGAACTTGGATGATAGAAACCTATTTATAAGAGAAGAGAGGTGATGGTGGAGTGGGGATGCTTAGCTAATTCATATTAGCTAGGTGGCATGAGGTTGATCTTTCACCAAGCATTTACAAGCTAAAGGAGTCCACAAATTTTATGCTTATCAGATGCACTATAGATAGGCATTCATTTAGATATAGTAGAAAGCATTATTTAATTTTGCTTTTAATATGTAAGCACTATTATTGATTGTTAGAATAAGGGATTCATTGAATTGGAAAGAATTACTGAAAATTAGAAGTAAAGTTGAAGATATCATTATTTGGGAGCTGGGAAAGGGTAAAATAAGTTTTTGGCCGGATGATTGTTCCTTGTTAAATCCGCTCAAAGATCACTGTTAGGCAAATGTCAAAGCTGAGATAATGTTCACTGGTTTCTGGTTTAATGATACTTGGAACAAGCAGGAACTTTATAAATTGTTGAATGATGATCTGGTCTAGAGCATTCATTTTGAATTTCTAATGAAGATATTCTCAGAACAAAGCGTTGCCACAGCTCCTCTTTAGGTAAATCGATCGCCAAGATGCTACATCAATATCTTAATATTGAAAAGAGTGATCTAATTTGGAACAATATTCTGCAACGTTCAGTCATTTTTTTGCTTGGAGGATGAATTTCCACTCCCTCTGAATGACATACTTAAGCTTAAAAGTCTTAGAATGCCTTCAATCTTTCTACTTGGTAGACAAGATGAAGAATCATTATCTAACCTTTTTTTTTATTATAGGTACTCACTATCAATTTGGTGGAGACTCGCTCATATCATCAGCATTTGCTTACTTATATGAGGTTATACCTCTATTGAACAATGTCTAAATAGCTGGATGAGAAGAAATATAAAGATACACCTTCAAAATCCCATCCCTTACATTTGTTGCTGGTGTTTTATGGATGGAATGGAATCAAAGGAAGCATCATGATGGTCATCACACTGCTGATGGCATCCTCATTCTCATCAAGTCCTTCATCTCTAAGCTGGTCAAGTATAACACTTCAAACAAGCTACTTGCATGATCGGGAGGTAGACTTGATTTTCTTGTTCTGGCTACTCTAAATAAATATACACAACTTTTCTACCAGCTTATTTATCCCTTTAAGAACGTTAATTTGGATGGTAGTTATAATTCCGTAGATGCTGGTGCTGGTGGAATTTTTCAAAAACCGTGAGGGACTCTCCCTGCTTACATTCTATACTCCATCATATCATATCAATGCCCTTTTTCTGAAATGGTTGTTGCCTTATATTGTCTGTTCATTGCTATGGAAGTGCAAATTTGGAATCAGATGATTGAGCTGGACTCCCTGACTACTTACCATTGTTGCCTTGGTGTTGTATCTTGTTGCTGCAAAAATATGATACTTTGGAGGAAACTCCTAAAGCTGATTCATTTTTTTAACATCGAATGGGTACATGTATAGGGAAGCAAACAAATCAGCTAATCTCCTTGCTAGATTGGGCGCTTCTCAGTCTGAGGTTGTTGTTGGTCATGTGTCTAACAATGTTTTAAAACTTCTTAAACATGGAGATAAACTTAGTTAGCCATACATTAGAGTCTACCATTAAACTTCCCTGTAATTTTTTCTAATCTTAGTAGATCTTCCCTTTGTTTTAATATATATATATATATATTAGAAAGAGGAATGGTCGGAGGCTATTATACGAGCCCCGGTCATCCCTCATGCGCCTAATAATTCGAGTACCACACCCTATACTCGGGTGGAATCAAACCCAAACCGAAGGGGATTTACAACTGATAAGCATATGCCCGACCAACTGATATGAGTACACGACACAAAATTCAATATATATATATATATATATATATATATATATAAATAGACTAAAAA